AAAGGGATTTTGTCTTTTGAAGACTGGCTTGAAGAAAACAAGAGTAGCTCAGTCAGAGCTTGCCGGAGCGAACACAGACCAAGCCGCTGCCTAGCAGGGCGTAATTGCACGGGTTGTACGCCATCAGCCTCTCCTGCACTGCTCAGCAACTCCCATCTATCAAGTGACAAACGATGCATTCTCCTTTCTTCTCCTCCCTCCCCGCTTATTTTTCTTCTTTAAGAAGAAACAGACTCCGATTTCAAGAATTAACTCTGAGATCTGCCTCAGATTATTGTGTCCCAGTAAGACTTCAAGCAAAGGCATTTCCCCTAAAAATGTTAATGGACTGTACTTGCATTCATATGGCGAGTGACATTCATCACAATAACAAGCCTGCAGAAGGCACTTCTAACATTTTATCTAATTTGAGAAAAAGCAGAAACTGATGGGCTGAGTCAGATCCATTGCCACATAATCCAATGTACAATTTCCAGCTGACTACTGCCAACTACTTCAAAGAAAAGAGTAAGAAACTTTGCATTAGGCTGTTGTAGCACGAACAGTCTGTATCTGGGATCCTCTTCATTTCTAGCAGTTAGAGCATGTTAAAAAATAAAGCACATCACACCTGAGAGGGAGGGCTGGAGAGGACATCGAGAAATAATTTTGTTCACATCGACCTCTCTCAAGTATTCCCAGCAGACACTGGTCTATCTTGGGTTTCAAAATCTCCATTGACAAATATTCTGTAACTCCTTTACCGTGGTTTGTTTCCATTCTCCACTTTCATTAAGGTCCAGATTCATAGAAAAATACAGGTGGGAAGGAACCTCTGTGGAGGCTTCTAGTCCATGTGCTGCTCAAAGCAGGGCCAAGTCACAGCAGGTTGCTCAAGAACTTCTCTAGGTGAGCTCTGCACATCTCCGAGGAGGAAGATTCCAGGTTTTCTCGGAACAACCCCTTGGACAACAACATTTGACCATTATCATGGTGGAAAAGTTTTTTAGTGGAATTTCCCTTCTTGCAACTTCTGCTTCTGTTGCTTCTTGTCCTTTCACCGCGCACTTCGGTGGTGGGTTGACCTTGGCTGGCTGCCATCTGCTCCACCAGGTAGCCGCCGACAGCAGTGAGATCCTCCTTTGCTTTCTCTTCTCCATCCTGAACACACCCAGAGCTCTCAGCCTCTCCTCCTATGTCACGTACCACAGCCACCTTACTGGTCTCTGCTGGGCTTGCTCCAGTACGTCCACGTCTTTCTTGCACTGCGGAGCCCCAAACCAGACACAGTGCCGCTGATGTGGCCTCACCAGCTCTGAACGGAGGAGGAAAGTCGCTCCCCTCGGCCAGCCACCGTCGCTCTCCAGGCTGCACGCTTTGCTGCAAGGACCCGCTCCTGGCTCCTGCCTTCCACCCAGGACACCCAGGTCCTCCCCTGCAAAGCCGCCTTCCAGCCCGTCGGTGCTCAGCCCACGCTGCGGCACGGTGCTACCCATCCCAGGCGCAGGACTGGCATCGGGCTACGCTGAACTCCATGAGAATTGTCAGCTCATTTCTCCAGCCTGCCAAGGACTCTCAGGTTAATGCCACGCAGCTGCAGTGACTTACTGACTTACCTGTTACCTCTCCAAAAGTTCCTGTGTATTTATTTTGAACCCATCTGACTCCTCCAACTTACCTGCTATTAACGAATACGTTACGTGATGCACCTTCAGCAGTTAAGAGTGACGTGAACAACTCATCGGCCTTCTCTGCTATGGTCTTTTCATTCCTGACTACTCTTTTGTACATCTCGGTCACCAAGAAATCTTACTGATTCCCTAGTTAGATTCCTACTTTTGATGGCATTAAAAATCTTTTTACCATAGACTTCAGCATCCCTTGTGAGGTGCTCTTCAAATTCTTTTCCCATCTCCGAATTTCCTGTTAACATTTAACCAGCCATGTTTATAGGCTTTCTTTTTCTTTCCATTTGGGCAAGCTCTCCATTTTGTGAATGCCATCCTTTCCTTGGGACATTCTCCTTAGCTTTCTCATTGATCCACAAAAAGAGGTTTTTGTATGGTTTTCTTTTCTTTTTGAATTTGGACACATAGATTTCCTGAGCTTCTAATACAGTATTTTTAACAGCCTCACAGCTTGCAGGCTTCCTGCTTTTTGGACTGATCCTTTTAGGATTTTTTCTAATAGTTTCATTTTTACATAGTTCCCTTTCTCGAAACTGAGTATCTGCATACGGGATTTACTTGGCATGCTCTCTCCTGCTCTTAAAGCTAAGACTGTGATGGGTACTACTGCAGATCAGGTAGTTAACACCACTCGAACCCGTTCTCGTGCACAACTCAGACCAAATCCAGCAGCGCATCTTTTTGTGGATTCTAAAACTAGTTGTTCAAAGACGAGTCATTTATTGCATTCCAAAGTGTTTCTGCATCTCCCTCTGAAAAGGCATTGATCCAGTCTCTATGCGAGTAGCTGAAATCTCCCACTGTTACTTACTTGGCCTAAATTCTTATAATTTCCTGATCACTACCACCATCTAATCAGGGGGTCAGCATTTCTCTTCTATTATTAAGAATTCAGAATTTCAACCCACAAGGATTCTGCAGTTCTTCTCTTTTTCTGTGATTTTTTAATGCTGTTTCATGTGTATTTCCTTTATGGACAATACTGTTCCCTTGCCTGCACATCCTACTGTATCACTCCTGTAAAGCTGGTAGCCTGGCTGCCATATACTCAATGAGCATCTTTCTCCTGCTGGATCTCTGAGACATTTATTATATTGGGGTTTTCATTTGATGTTCCCCTTTTTAATTCCATATGGGAAGAAAAAAATCTTTCCTTTCTTTTTTGGCTTGGAGTTTCCCAGCCTCTACTTTACTCCCATCTCTCTGTTTTAATGTTATAAGAAGAGGATGAAATAAAAATGACTGTGCTGACAAATCTCAGCTACTCCATTTCCCACAAAGGGCGAATCCTCAGAGGCGAGTCCCACGGTCACGGCACGCCGTCCCAGAGCTCAGCAGGACGCTCCTCCACCAAGTTGCAATGGCCAACTTGGACCCTAGTCACACAAGGTGCTGGCTAGGGAAGGGGGATCTCCTCTTGGCAACAAATTATTAGAACCTGCCATGAAGCAGAGCACTTGAAACTCAGATTCCTTAAAATATGAAATATATATCCATTTCAGCTGATGAATATTTCTGGACTGTGAATAAACAGTGGACCCAGTAAATAACCTTTAGAATCCTTGCCTTCAGTCACAATGGAAACACACTGTTATTACTCTTACATCCTTTCTCTACCACGCTTCAACCTCCAGCAGCACTTTGACATCTACCCTACGATGTAACTTACTTGGATGAAAAGAAAGCAGTAACTTGTCACAAGTCTTTGAAAAGTCTCAGTAAACTCTAAATGCTGTTTTCTTTACATCCAAGTAAGTTCCTTCATTTTTGACCTCTTTCAGAACTTCAAAGTGCACAGAAACAGGTTGAAGTGGTTTACAGATTTTTAAACAATGAGGTTCTTTCAGAACCAATATTGTGCCTCTTTAGTTCTCGTAATACTTCTTTATTACTACCAGAAAAAGTCAAGTCACAAGTAAGAATTCTTCCACCATCTTCCAGAGTGAAACTGATTCGGTGCTTGCTGTCTCAACAACTTTAATTTTATATGAAGGTTACAAAAAAATCCCCTCCTTTTCCATCTAAACCAGAAAGTTTGCACTGTATTGCTTTAATATTTCAACATGAACATAGTCCTAGTGAACTGGATGACTTCAGAAATGCAAATATACCATTTGACAGAGATAATGGGAACTGACAGTTAAAACGTTTTAAAAGCGTAATTCTTTTTTATCAAAGTTTTACGAAAGGGAACTATCTGGTCACATCCATATGACAAAGTCAGATTACTGGCTGAACACACACTGAAGGAAATTATGAGGAGGCATAAGCCTACCTTGCTGGAAAGGACTTGAAAGTATTTACACGACAAATACATAATGAAAAGGTGAATGAGGACAGCGATGTGAAGATGCTTCTCCAGCCACGCTGACATGTGGCAGGACACACGCCTCGCCCCAGTGGTAAGATGCGTAGGGGAGGTCAGTGCTGCTGCTGGAGGTTGTGGAAGACAAGGGCTATCGCTGAAACGGCATACGGACAACTGCGTGTTTTGCGCTCGCGATCACGCGGAGCAGCAATGAGGGGAGACGTGGCTGCCGCCTGCTGCAAGCTGTTGGAGCAGGTCTAAGGGTGGGCACCTTCGACAGCAGAAAGGGTAGCCAGGTCTTGGAGGATGTGCTAAGCCAAGCCGCTCGTAAGCAGCGTGCTCGGTGGAAATGTTGTAAAATGGCAGCCGTAATTCGAGGGAGATCCCATGCCCCTCAGTAACGTGGAAGATTGCTCCTGCAAACACTGCTCTCCTTTTGTACGGATAAAACAGCAAGGTCAGGTATCTCCCCATCCAGCCAGACTGCAATCACTCTATGGAATTTCAGTAGATTCTTAATTGCCTTGATCTCCTATAGCAATTTTCTGTTAAAGCAGTATTTATTTTTACCAGTTTAAAATTGGTTGGGTGTTTCCTTTAGCTTCTGCTATTATAAGAGACTGCAAACATAAAAAAAACCTTCCTTTCTCTCCCTCTCTCAGGCTCCTTCCCTCTGGAATAAATATATTCTGTAACATTTGTTCCACAGTTTGTTTTCCTCAGGTATCTAAGTATTTATCTCCTCTCTAGACTAAGTAGGACTAATCTGCTTATTCTGTTGTCTCCTCTGACCTCATTTCTAATAATTTCTGTCGTCGCTTCCCCTTTCCCTGCTCTTCCCCCGCTGCCTGAGAACGCAGTATTTCTGCTGAAAATGAGGAAAGCGTACTGCTCTTTCGCATCAGCTGAATAAACAACAAAAAAATGACAATTTCATGCAGCTGTTAGCATTAAGCTACTAATCAGACTCTGAAAAACACCTTCCATATCGCAGGGTTGGTAAAGAGGGATGAATATTCACTTACTGCATTTCCAGCTTCGGCAGCCAGCCGGGCGGCGTATCTGGCAATCAGCCTGTGCTCCTCGTCCAGCCTGCCGGGGCTGTCCAGGACACTGCCGGGGAAAAGCCAAAACACCCCGTCAGTATCCGCCACCTCGAGATATTACTCATACCAGGGGATGACAGAGAAAAGGACGTATTATTGCAAAGAGACAGTGACAGGAAATAGAAGAGTCACACTGGAAATAACCTAATCATTCCCTTTTTCATTGCGCTTCCGAAGGGGGGGACTGCTCTCAAGACTTTCTGCCCAGCAGCATTTTCTCCAGGATTCACATATTCCAGTTTTAAATCATTAAAATAATTTGATTTCAACAATTCATAAATACAAATCATTAGGAACAAACTAATTTTGTTTCTGAGGAGCTTTTCTGCAAACCCTTTTGGTTTACTCAAGGTAAGAACGGGCATAACAGCTGAATGATGGAGGAGAAAATCTTTGTCCTCAGGAGATGTAGGATGGCAAGTGTCAAAGTCCGGACGGTTTCTGGGAGGAAGAGCAGGGGAACCACGCTGACCTGAGAAGAACGGACTCTGTCACTGAACAACATCAACTTAAATGCAAACAGTACTTTTAAGTCAGCCTGACTTACACCTGACTTACTACCACCTTACAACACCCAAAGGTACAAAACGTGGTAATTTGAGGCTCGGTCCTTCACACCTCAGCTAGCAGAGGGTGAAGCAGTTCCAGCTGCCTCGTACTGCCTCACGCAGACAGGCTGCGGCTGCCTTGGAAACGTTGCTGAAAGAGGTATTAAAAAATCTTTCCAATAATCATCAGCAACAGTGACAGCACCATGAGGTGAGAGACGAAGGGGACACTGAGCTTTGAAACAGGAAAAGTAGAGACAGGAGAGGGGACAGATCCTGGATCCTTCTCACATTTAACACGAGCATCCTCCCCGCTGTGCACGTGACTCGGTACCATGATTAACCTGGTCTGGTAACCCAGGCAGTGCCCAGAGTGCTGAATCACCTTCTACTGTCCACAAACGATGGTCTTTTTACCGAGAGACACACAGGGGACAATCGGTAATTTTCAGGTTGTATTAACAGAAACCAGTCAACGTTAAGATCTATTGCCAGCTCAGTTTCGGTGGCACAGTGGCCTCGCCATAAAGAATCGGCAGGTGAAAGCCAAATAAAAGAGCGACTTTTTAAGTCAACATCCAACCAAACTATTCAGGAGTTACTCCTTGCCTTACTGCTGCACAAAGATTTCTCGTTGCAGTCTCCCGTCAGAAGGGAAGGCACTGAATTAGTCACAGAAACCAAACCGTTATTGACTGAAAACAACCAGGATGAATGTGGAAAGGAGCAATGTGCTCCAGGCTGCAACGCAGCCTTGCTAACGCCGTCCCAGGTGTTCCCGTGGGATTCACAACCATCGGGCTCTGGCTGCCGCAGATCGCACAGCGCTGCACTCGGATGCGCTCACAGGGAAATTCGGGATCAGAATCATACCACGGACAGCAGCAGAGAGACACATACCTCCTGCACAGCCAAAGTTACTTTTAGTCCACCTTACCACTTCACAAGACTAAGCTTGATTTCAAGCTTAATTTCACAGATTTATGTTTACCTTATTTAAAGAACCACATCTATATTGCACACATTATGTTTATTTAAAAATGTAGATTTAATTTCTTTTTTTGTAACCCTAAATTTAAGAACTTGATCTCTTTTAAGACTCTGAAAGTCTGCCAGATGATGTGTTTGAGATGGCATAGAAACATTGGACTGAATTCAATAGATGTACGGCTACAATTTACACAGCTGGGTCCACGCTGAGTTTAAATTGCACCGTTACCCCTCTCTGTTTGCCCTGCTGGATTAAGACTTGATGATACTCAACTAAACAGTGCAAAGGAAGGAGCTGGTGACAGGTGAGCTAAAACAGTACGAAAGCAGATTTAAGAGAAGAAAAAACAGAGTTTTTACACTGGGTTTGATGAACTTCTTGCATGCCTTCATGTTAATTCATTTTCTGATTTTTTTTTTTTTGTTGAAAGAGAACAATCTTTCCCATTCCACTTTCTGAATTTGATATTGTCTGCGTTTAGCTTTCCTCTGCAATTTTGTTGGCACAAGTTTTTTTTTGCTTTTATAGGAATGCAGATTATTCCATCCCCTCTACCCTTTCCATTATCTGGTATCTCCTATACCCCTCCCAGCTGCTGGAACTATTACCTCTTCTTATCTAAGTGAATTAGAAAACAGTCATTGACAATTTCTTACTTTCTTGAAGAAAATCTGTAATTTTTTTTTCTTTTTAAAAAAACCAACCAGCAAACCCTTTTGCGTTTGCTTTTAGACATATTTTACAGTGGAGTTCAAGTACACCTCCTGGCCCTCCTGCCTGTTCTTCAATATAAACCAGTTTGAACAAATGAACCACTACTGCAACCTACCGCATTAACAGACAGGGCATTAAACACAATCTACAAAATACCACGGAATCCTTTACGTCGCTTCACAAAGGGAAACTCACTTCTTTATAGTTTTAATTTCTGTGGAGATATTGCAAAGGATTTCTACCCCGAGCGCCGTCCCTCTCCTGCGGGGCAGCAGCAGCCCTGCAAACGGTGAGCCGTCCCCAGCCGGGGGGACCCAGCCCTGCCCGCGCAGAGAGGTCCTGGAGCGAGAGCCGGCACACAAACCGGAGGGCAGCAGCTCCATGAGAAGAGGAAAGGGAGCAAAGGGGAAGGATAAGCCAGGCTTAAGGCCAGAGCTCAGAAGGGAGGAGGGTACGTGAGTGAGAGTTCAGAGACTTTCACAGCAGCAGGATTTGGGAAAGGCAGAATTACAGACCTCCCTGTCTTAAAAGTACTGTTCCAGGTGGTTTGCTCTATTTTGACAACGTTGTGCTACTTCTACGGCACCGATTAGTCCATCTCTGAGCTCTCCCATCTCTTCCTTTGGAGATGCAGGTTATAGCCGGCACACGGACAGCACAGACTGAAAGGTCTGATGAGACGCAGAAGAAAGCGTCATCCTTGGGACAGCCCGGCTCAGTCACAGAGGCAAACCAAACTGATGGGAGCCACAGACCACGAGCAACCCCGTGGGGGGACAGGGAAGGTGAAGTGATGTTGATTTTTAGGGGTCAACAGAAACGTTTGAGACAACATGATAAACGCACACGGGAAGAATTGCTTCTGCAGTCGGTTTGGTCTGACCCAAATGTGTGCAGGCACTGAACGGGATGTTCACAGCCTCTGCCCTCCAGTGCCGCACTGGCAGCAGCATCAGGGCAACGGGATGAGCCAGCGACGGAAATTGAATTGGCTTAAGACTGGCCTGACAAAACAATAACTTGTTTTCTGCCAGGGCAGCTCCCCGAGCCAGCTCAGCAGGTGCCTGCGCGAAGGCGGGAGCTCACAGAAAGGGGAGAGCGGCTGCATCGGCAGGATGAACGGGCGGGGGGAGAAGGGGAAAAACCAGCACCCTGCACTTATGTCGGCTGGAGGCTCTCAGGAGACCATGCCCAGCAAAACGGGCACAAAGGCAGTCTGTGAAGAGAAAGTCGAGATGCCAGTGCCCTGCCGTCAAACACTAACACAAAAATGAGCTTGGACAACCAAAGTATCGGCTAGGGACGGGCGATCAGTAAAGGATGTAAGAGAAGATGACACATCATGGGGGGAGGTTTGAGATCTTAGGTTCCTGCCAAAACTGCTTAGGAATTCATGATGCCGAGAAGTGGCAGAGGACAGCACAAGAAGGCATGGCTTATTCTTCCAGCACTGACCTGAAGGGCCCCGCGTCCCAGGTGTCAACTGATGGTGAGCCGAGAGTAAGGATCTTGGGGACAGAGTATCTTTAAGAAACGTGAATTTTTCCTCTCATTCTCCTGTAAAATCCCAAGTGTGGCGGACAATTGCAGTTTCAGAGAGTCAGGAATTTAAAGGAAACCAAATCAAACCAGCCAAGTAGCTAACCACCCATCCACCCACCTAGATCAACTGACCAAAAAGTAAACCACACAAATCCTGTGGCCGGCAATGCAGAATACATAACACATGAAAATAATGACACTCCAGGTAGGGCTACTTAATTTTTCTGGTGAAAAGTGGAGTCATAGGGACTGGGGAAAACCTAGCTTGCTGCATGAAGGGGAATATAAGTTAAGAACTATGTGACAAACAACTGTCCAAGTAATAAAGCACAACTCATCAGCTCCGTAAGCTTTCTAACTATATAGGGTATAACTTGCTGCGCTCTGCAGCTGTCTTTGCCTGCAGCACATCCCTTAGGGTGGGGATTTTCTATTATTTCTTTGAAAAAGCACTTAACCAATTTGGCTTGCTACCACAACAATACAGTAGGTAAAAAAAAAGAAAAATATATTATTGTAAGATAAATGAAGTTCACTGAACTCTGTTTGCTATAGTCCTTACGTAGCTGGGATGGGCTTTTTGGTTGGAGGACATCAGTGAATTAAATAATTTTTAATATGACGAAAATCTGAGAGATCCAGCAAGTCAGGGCTTAAAGGCTCTGAAGGTTTGGCTGAAAGACATGAAAAGATGCTGGGTGATAAAGAGCAAAGGTAAACATACACAAAATCAGTGACTGGAAGTGAAAGAAAGATAAGTCCAAGTTTGAAGTAGGGCTCTTTTAAAAAAGAGTCAGCACAATTAATCACTGAGGCAGATTGCCAACGAAAGGAGTGGCTTCTCCATCACGGTGTTCTCTGAAAGGTACATCTTTAGAGAAACAAGCTATGAGGTTGAGCACAAGGATGAACCGGGATGATGGTTTTAAACTAAAGGAGGGGGTATTCAGACTAGATCTCAGGAAGAAATTGTTTAGGATGAGGGTGGTGAGGCCCTGGCAGAGGTTGCCCAGAGAAGCTGTGGATGCCCCATCCCTGAAAACATCCAAGGCCAGGTTGGTCAGGGCTCTGAGCAACCTGGTCTGGTCGAAGATGTCCCTGACCATGGCAGGGGGTTGGACTGGATGACCTTTGGAGGTCCCTTCCAACCTGACCTATTCTATGAATAGGGTAGGGTAGGGTAGGGTGGATAGGATAGAACAGATGAGACTGTTTCAGTTGGAAGGGACCTACAAGAACCACCTAGCCCAACTGACCGGTCACTTCAGGGCTAACCAGAAGTTAAAGCACATTTTCCAAATGCCTGGACACTGGTGTGAGATGACAGAGAAGATGCTGTAATGGTCTCTCCTGGTCCTGGAGGCTACACCGCCCTGACAGAGCAGCCGCGGGGCCAGAACAGCAGTCCTCTGCCTTGTCCCCACCAGCAGCCCAGAGTAGATGTAAAGAGGAGAACAGAAGGGAGAAAGCAACTGAAGGTTGTTACAGGAAAAGCTGTCTGTAAGTGAGATTTACTGTTATCTTCATCAGTCAGGAAAAGAGACGGTCTGCAATGGCTGGCCGGAGCACACCAAGGATCTCCACACAGCCTGCCAAAAGCAGGAGGATATATCGTGATGTGAGATTTTGGGGGGATGAGGGGTGAAGATCAAAAGAAGTGACAATAGAGCACAGACTTCATCAGTCTCTCGTGCTGACTTGGAAGACACTTCCATGCACAATGGAATTATTTTCCTTGCGTTTGGCTCCTTCCAGCAGTACGCTGTCACTCTCGTAACAGGTACCAAGTGACTTTTTTAAATTTAAAGACCTAAAAGACTGAGAACCTCTGCTCCAACTGGCTGTAACATGGCAGCGATGAGCTACATACAGTATTTCAATCTGTCATACACTCTTAAAGATGCACTCCTTTGTATCTCAAATCCTATAATTACAGTAATTGAGTGAAGGTGAGAGTCTGAAATTCCTTAGGTTTTATTGTCTTGCGGACAATATTACGGGCTTTCAGTTCCGAGCAGGTGAGAGCAGACAACAGTGATTCACTACCAAGAAAAAAATGTGACTTTCCCCAGAGATCTAGACAGCCAGAACGCACTTCTTCAACACGGCAGTGGAATACAAATTTCTACGTGACAGAGTGATGAAACAGAACTCTCAAAATGTTATCCAGAGGATGACAACACGGGCAGAGCAAGGCCTTTACATACAGCCTCCAGATCACTAAATCTCCTTTTCCTTTCCAGCACAGCTCTGGCTCTGTAAAGGCATAATTTAATGAGGTCCAAAAGTGGAATACGGAAAACCTTCCGGCTATGTCCTGTGATGAAATGGGAGAGCTGCGTTTTGGGCCTTTAGGGGCAAATTTCTCTACATAGACACAGACATGAAATATAAATGCACACAAATACTAAAGTTGAGATAAAAGAAATTAATTCTTCAAAGCATTAACATTTTTTGGAAAGGCAGAGACAGAAACAGTCATATTAAGCAGGTCATGTTGATAGGATGGGAAGAGCTTGCTTGTTTAGTCCAAATAACAAAGACGGTGACAGGACGGGACATCTGTCTGCAACTGCGTTCGGGGTTGGAAAGGTAAAAGCAATAAGGAGAAAGAAGAACAGGTAGAGTTAGAGGACCACGTTAGCGCAAGAATTAACGGGCATGAGCTGGCTGTGAAAAAATTTAAGGTGGAAATCAGCTTCCTCCTGGTGAAAGACAAGATTTCAGAACGGTCATGGAGAGAAAAATTACCTAACCCGTTTGGGAGGATGTTAATCAGGTCATGTGAGGGATTCAGTAACATAGTGAATGCATAGGGTGGGAATGGACACAAAATTCATCCCTTCCCATCCGATGTTTTGTGTGTGTGTGTGTGTGCGTGTGTGTGTGCATAGGTATTTGGTTATTTTCAGAAGATTTCAGAGAATGCCAAATACATTTCCCTCTATTTGCCAATGGAGGCCAAATACCTTTGACTGGAACATCCCTGCCCAGAGGAAGCACATTCCTGTACCCGTCCCTGCTCCGGGAACGCTTCCCTAACACTAACCGTGCACCGCTCTGCAGCCGCTTCACAAAGGTTGCTATCAGTGCATGCTCGTCAGCTAACCGGCTGGCAGCATCCAGGTTGCACTGTAACCTAGCAGCGACGAGGGGAAAAGAGAGCAAACAAAACAGAACATAAATACAAAGCAAATAATTAATGAATGTTAACGAAACAAACAGTTACAAATTGAAACAAACAGATGAGTAATTAAAAATGTAAATATGTTTCCACAAGTCACATGAAAAGGATACCTTCTGCAGTTCAAGATTAAAAGACAGATTAGAGGAACATTTGGGTCTGTAAACAAGCAATGAGCATAGCTGTGCATCGCCCTGCGCACCACGGCCGGCGGCAGCGGGCAGCCT